TCTAGATGCATTTCTGCATCAAAAATAAAATTTTGAAAAAATTGTCGCTTACGTTATTTTGGCGGTTAGGGCTCGATATTTAAAAGCAATTTGTTTCGATTCAAGTTGTTGAAAAGTAATGAATATCTAAATCTATCCCGGGACTAATCCGGGATCCCGGGATTGTGACAACGACATACCGAAAATCCCGGGATCGGAAAACGCTGAAAAATTAACATCTCCAGTCCCTATGTAATTATTCATACGTGAACCCAACAAACCCAAATCATGGGCTTAATAAATTGTGTCAGTTTGTGTATAAATATTATATATATGAGGGTACGAGAGAGAGAATGCACCCTTTTTTTTTGCCAAATTTTAAGCTATAAAATATTCTCTATGACATACAGTGACTCAAACAAGTGACCATGTATTATTTTGCTTTTAAATATTCACAATTTTCTTCAAGTTAATTTTTTTGTTATTTTTACATAAAAATATTGTCCAAGCTTTAACCAAGATATATAAATTAATGTTTTAAACTATAAAAAATTTTGGAAAATTCAACAAGTTTTTAAACTTTTTTATCTGCACCTCCAGAACATTTTTGGTTATGTGGTTGTATAGTCCACGCCATTTTAGTACAGTGAAGTGTAAATTTTAACCCCATTGATTTTAATCATTTTTTTTCTGACGAGTTTTTGCGCTTTTTTCTAAATCGGTGAAACTTCGAAAAAAAATATTTAACTTGAAAAACATTATGAATATTAACAAGTAAGAAAGTCTAAGTTCGGGCGGAGCCGAACATTAAATACCCGGCGCAATTATTAAATATATGTTTTCCACCTTTCCGAAAACTACCGCTACACGATAAGCCGGGGTGTATAAATTTTAAGTAAATTAGCGTCCTTAAATTTCGAAATATTGAAGTTTCAAGCATTACTGAAATATACCGTTATATGAAAAGCGGTCGTAATTTAGTCCGATTTCAATAATTTTCAGTGCTTTGCTTTTATGTGGTAAGCACAATAACCATACCGAGTTTGGTTCAAACAAAACGGTTAGCGAGATACATATATGTGATCATAAGTGGGCGGTGCCACGCCCATTTTCCAAAATTGTATCATAAGCGTATTTCTTGGTAAAGAATTGTTGCAACCATCAATTTTGAATAAATTAGCTTTAATATTTACTGATTTATCGAGGATTTCGTATTTTTCTAAATTACCGTTATATGGGATGTGGGCGTGGTTATTGTCCGATTTTAAAAATTTGGTATGTTGTAGCAGGACCAACAACTGTGCCAAGTTTGGAAGAAATTGGTGCAGCGGTTACCAAGATATACGCATGTAACCATAAGTAGGCGTGGCTACGCCCATTTGCCAAAATTTTTTAATATTCTTATTTTTCGTCTAAACCTCATTGTAAATATCAATTTTGAGTGAATTATCTTCAGTGGTTACTAAAATATCGCACTTTTCGTATTTCTGAAAATTACCGTTATATGGGAGGTAGGCGTGGTTATTGTCCGATTTCGCCCATTTTCAATACCATCCGTCCCATGCCCAAAAGAAGTCCACGTACCAAGTTTCGTTAAGATATCTCAATTTTTACTCGAGTTATCGTGTGCACAGACGGACGGACGGACGGACGGACGGACGGACGGACGGACGGACAGACAGTCACCGCTTAATCGATTTCTCTTTTCATTCTGATCATTTATGTATACATTTGTCTATATCTATCTCGATTCGTTTTGCCTGTTACAAACAACCGTTATGTGAACAAAGTTATAATACCCTTGTGCACAAGTGCGCTCGGGTATAAAAAAAATTAACACGTGGTCATTGTATATGTACCCGTATATGAATGTACGTAAAAGCCTAAACATAAATTTATTTAATATTTTCGATAATATTTATAGTTGTTTCACAAGGAAAAACATGTTTACTAATTAT